AGTTGATTTACTTAGGCCACTTGGTGAAGTTTTACCTGCAAATGCAAACTTGTTCGTCTTGGTAAACCACGTTCTGAAGTACCTAGTCCAATAAAAATTATTTGTAACAATAAGGAATCAGCTTTAAGATTACTGTCTGAGTTTAACACTGCAAAACGTATTGGGCTGCCGCTTCTCGAGGGACTTCGCATGACTAGTGACAAAACTGAGTTGCAGCGCAAACTCTTGCGTGATTGCTACATGGATCTTGAGCGGCGAACAGCGGCTGGTGAGTCCGGATTACGTATCAACATTGAAAATGGTTTACCGAAAATACAGGATGCTGCATCACGTAAAAGAGAATTCAGCCAACCTCCATTCACCCGTTTATAACAATCAATATCAAGAAGTCAACCCCTGTCCGACTTCTACCAAAATTGCCGTGGTCTTAGGTGCAAATTATTTAATTTAAATTGTAATTCATTAACTATTTCTTGTAATTTTTTTGTACTCACTGAAACGTGGCTTACTGATAGCTTTTCGAATTCAGAGCTAGGATTTGTCAATTATAATATTTTTAGATATGATCGATGTAGTGCTTCTAGTAATTGTTTGTGAGGGGGGGTGGTGTTCTTATTGGTGTTTATAAAGATATCCCAGTAATCCCCATTCCTGTAAGTGCGTTTAATGTTGAGCATTTATTTGTGCGTATTTATTCAGGAACATTTAACTTTGTTGTCGGTGGAGTCTACATTCCCCCACTTTCCTCCCCTTTAATTTATGAATCCTACGCTAATTGCATTGATCATCTAATGCACCTTTTTCTTGAAGATATATTTATCATTTGCGGGGACTATAATCTACCTGAGATTTCTTGGTCTTGTGATAACAATGGCCTATGTTACTCATATACCTCTTCTACGCGTGCTCCTTTTATTCCTGAAATGTTTGCTACAAACGGATTTTATCAAATCAATAGTGTCCTTAACTCAATCAGTACTATTTTAGATTTAATATTTTGTAATGATAAGCATCTCATAATTGAAAAATCAAATGGACAAACATCACCCCGCGCTTAATTTATCACTACCAGTAGATACTCAATTCCCCAATTGCAAAAAGAGCCATAGCTACTATAACTTTCAAAAAGCCAACTACAGCAGTATACGTCTATTTTTATCGTCTTTTGATTGGTTTTCCACACTTCAGTTATGGAACATTGATTCAGCAGTAAATGTACTTTATGATGCTTTGCACAAGTCTGTAATAGACTTCGTGCTATTATACTACTATAATGATTCTCCCTTTCCGCCTTGGTTCAATAAAAATTTTAATCAAATTATTTCCTTAAAAAAAAAAACACATAAAAAATATAAAGCATCTATAAGTATTAATTATAGGGAATTTTATATACTTCGTGCCAAGTTTAAGTATGAGTCAAAAAAATCTTACCGTGCCTACACGGAGCGTGTTGAAAATGCACTTAAAAGTAATCCTAAATACTTTTGGAAATTTATAAAAAACAAATGTTCCGAAAAAGCCATTCCTAGAGTATTGTCTCTTAATAATAAAACCTCTTTAAATGAGCTTGATTCTGCCAATCTTCTGGCAGAATATTTTTCCTCAATATATTCTAATTCACCTCCGCTTGTTGATACTATATCGGATACAATAAAAATACCATTTTTTTATCTGCCTAATACCATTCACATTAATGTTGATGATATATTTAATTGTCTTTTAGATCTAAGGAGTGACAAGTCTATTGGCCCTGACGGTTTACCAGGTACGTTCTTTATCGAGTTTACATCAATTTTGTCCTATCCTTTGTGGATTATTTTTAAACGCTCGCTACAGGAAGGTATTTTTTCTTCTATGTTCAAAATAAGTTCAGTTACACCAGTCCCTAAATCTGGCTGTCTATCTCTCGCTTTAAATATCCTTATAATATATATTATCCATACAATCACATTTATCAAAAATCTTTGAAAAAATAGTCCTCAATGCAATACAACCATCTTTTAACTAAATACTCATAGATGAATAGCATGGATTCCGACCTGGTCGATCTACCTCCACTTGCAATGTCCTCTTTTGTAATTATGTGTTTAACTCATTTCAGCATGGATTTCAGACAGATGTAATTTATACGGACTTAAATAAAGCTTTTGAGTCTATTAATCATAAGGCTCTAATTCTTGTGCTCAAAGAAACTGGTTTCGGGGAGCCTCTTCTATCGTGGTTCAGTTCTTATTTAGACAATAGGTATCAATGGGTTAGAGTTTTCGGAATAAAATCTAACTTATTCCATACTAAATCAGGTGTACCTCAAGGGGGGCACTTATCTCCTTTACTATTTTTTATATTTGTTAATAGTATACAGCAAACTCTAAAACACTCTCGTGTTCTCTGCTTTGCGGATGATATTAAAATATTTATGCAAATTCAATCTCCTAGTGACTGTATAAGGCTCCAAGCAGACCTAGATAAATTTGTTGACGGGTTAACTAAGTTGGGTTTAACACTTAATCTATCCAAATTCAAAGCTTTTACATCTTCTAGGAATTGTAGCGAGGTGTAATATATAGAAGTAATAAACACTTTTAAGATTTAATAACAACTATACTATATTACAACGAACTAACAAATAACAGCGAGAGACGAACTGTATTACAACGAACTAATAAATAACAGCGAGAGACGAAGCGCGTGTAAGACAGAATGCGTAAGTGATTGACTGATCGACTGATTGACTGGAGCGACGATCTTGCCCTTAAATAGTCAGAGGAATCTTCTAGAGGCGGCGGCGGAACTCTCTAGAACATTCGACCGCCACACGCTTATGTAGAGCGACGAATCTTCTAGAGGCGGCGGCGGCCGGACATTCTAGAATATTCGACCGCCACAGAATCACTCTCCGATTACTTTCCCATATCACCTTGGTAGCGAAGAAATCCCTCGCGCATCTAACAATATTATAGACCTTGGATTTAAATTCAGCCACAATCATGGTATGGGACCCCCACACGGCAGACAACTGTCGCCAGTTAGAAAGGGTTCAGAATAAATTTCTATGTTTTGCTGGGCGGGCGCTGGGTTTACCACGTCCACCCCATGATTATAGCCCCGTGGCAAATAATTTAGGCCTTTCCACACTGTCATGGAGGCGTAGTATTGCGGGCTCTAGGTTTCTCGGGGGTTTGCTTGATGGGAAGGTAGAATGTCCTGCGCTATTATCTCTGATCTTTTTTAGGGTTCCACTGATTAATACCAGGTCGAATGTACCTTTCCGAGTCACGCATGCCCCCACGAACTACCTAATGAACGAACCCCTCCGCCGGTTACTTAGAAGTTTTAATGCAGATCCTAGTTTTATATTATCATAATATTTGTATTGTTTTGTAATATCTTATTCATATGTCGATTTATTAGTTGTAAACATTTTTGATTTTGTCTTTTGTTATTTGTTTTTTTTTTATGTATTTTTTGTTTGTTTTTGTGTCTTTCTCTTAATTTAGTTAAAATTAAATGTGTAAACATAGTATGCTTGTAAAAAAAGCATACAAAAAGCATACGGGATACATCCCGTAAACTAAATAAATAAATAAATAATAAAAAAATTAAATATGAGTTGTATGAATATAGCATTCACTAATACTTATACATCATTAATATAGCATTATCGACTTTTAGTTGCTCTTGTTAAATAACTCATAGGCCATTTCGATGCCTAACTGTCTATAGACAGCATGTTTTATATCATTGTGATAGATCACATAGAACTATCCTACATTTATCTGGACTTAATGATTAGCACTCAAAATGATATTATAAGAAAAAGGAATATTAATTGGATATTGGTTACTAAATATAATTAAAAAAAATTATTTTTCAGTCAAATTTATAATTTCAGACATTTCACGAGTCTTCTATCTTTTGGCTTGCCTCAACCCATAGTGGGTCCACCCCGGGGTTCTTATAAAGTTAGACTTGTTGATATTAGTTTAGCCTTCAATATCTTTCTCAAAATTTATTGTTTCAGTTTAATAATATATAAAATGACATTGTAAAAATATAAAATGTGTTGAATTATTTAATATGTGGTTAGAGGTGTGAAGGCAAAGGCACTACCGTTCTGCTTGCTACTGAAAATTTAAGTCTCCTAATATTTAACAGGATCTTCACTTATGAAAATTACTACTCATTTTATATATATACAGTTTAAATACTCTATAAAATATGAAAAAATAGAAAAATTATGTAAAATGATACCAACAATTTATTTATTCTATTTCATATTTTAGTTTAGTATGACGTAAAGAGTAAAAATTGATATTAAAATTATATATTAACTTGACTAAATTATTTTTTTTTGTAAAAAGAAAAAAGTGTTTATTAAATAAATATATTTAAAATTAATGAATTTGAATCGACATATATACATAGAAAAAATCCTAATAAATACGAAATTATTAATGCATTATAGTTAAATATTTTTTATTATAAGATTGTATCTAAATTATTTACATAAAAAATGTGTAAAGTAATTTTCATCATTCTGGCAATATCAATTCAATTGACATTAATTCAAAATTGTGAATGCATAAAATCTGACATAGTTAGAATCAATTATTTTAAATATTTGACTCACATAGTAGAACACATTTGTGAACAAACAGGATGGAATTTATTGAAAAACAATTTATTGATTTGGGACTCAGAAAAAGTGTTGTTGCAACAAGGAATTAAGAAAAAAAATGTTTTGTTTATTTTTAATTACATTGTGAATATATTTAACTATAAATGCATAGACATAATACAGACTTTCGTTGAACATGTTAATATATTAATAGAAGAATGTGAAAATTATTTAACCGCACAATTATTTGGTAATTTTATGATGTGCACAGCAATTCTCGAAACCGAAATGAAGAAATCTACTGAAATGTTCAATAGTATATACACAGTAATGTGGTTTCTGAGTTATTTAGATGTTAAACGCGTTTTTGTAAAAGTTGCAGGTAACCCATATACTGTAGTCGATGAAGTTTATTTGGTTAAGCAATTTATAGATTCTATTCAAATAAAAGATGAGACGGGTCTTGCTAACATTCAGGAAGAATATATGGCCAAAGTCAATGAAGCAGTACTAGTAATTTTTAATACAAAAGTACTTATTAAGAATGTGACTAAAAGAGCAATTTCTGTTTTAAATGAAATCAGAAAATTATTAATTATACCTCAGCGACTCGATTTGAAGTTAAATTACGAAAGGGAATATCATTCTCAAGAATGTATTGAAAATGATTTTTTTAATTTCGTGTTAAATAATTTAAATAAATTTTATACACATACAAAAAAAATTTATTACGATGATTTCAACTTTGATATATTACTGAACCCTGACGCATATAAGTAAGATAATATTTTTCATTGGCTATCTTAAAAGTTTGTAAAAAGAAGGAATGTTAGGGGTTGTTAATCTCCTCTCAAAAATGATAATCGTTTATGAATTGTAGTCAGTAACGTATGGTATACTATTACGAGTATTACCAAATAATTATCAATTTATATATGTCAGTGTTTTAGTCATGAAATTAAAATTAAAAAACCCAGCACTGTGGGTTCGCGGCACATGGCATATATAGGTCAAGTATTTTTTTTTTAAAAAAATCACCAAATCAATAATTTTTTTATAGATACATGATATATCGGTAAAAGTTATAACATAAAATTATTGATTATCATATTTTATAATAAATTTTATTATCATAATAAGTATTTATTAACTTATCATACTTATAAATCAAATAACTACGAATTAAAATATAACTAAGCAATAGAATTTGATAATAATGCTCTTGGAATAACCCACCCATTGTTTAAAATTAAACACTCTTTTTTAGATTTGCATCGAAGCATTTTTTATGATAGTAATTTTAATCATTGTCAGATACTTGTTCCATCAATGCTACGTTCACACTGTGCTGCGACAACACTTTGATTCGTTTTTTTTGAAAATATTCTTTTTATTAATCAATACAGAATAATTTCATATTTTTATTTTTATAAACAATTTTTGTTACGTAATAATATTACAAATCTGGTAATCGATCAGTCAAAGATTTATTTAGCTCACTCTATCTAATAGTGCTAAAATAATGATTGGCTGCCATTTAACTTTCGAAAGTTACCCATAAAAACTACTCTTAAATATTATTTTATAAAATTAGATTTTTATCATAGATCATGAAACACAAATAAAACTTTCATCGTACAATTTTACAAAAAAAAAACATTGTTTGACAGTAAAATTGTGATTAGTATTCCCAATAAATTGTACTTTATATAACGAAAAATTGAAATAAAATATGAGAAAAAATTATGATAATATATAAATACTAAAATTGCTAAAATTAATTTCTACTTATTTTTCAATGTAGCATGGAAAAGTTGATACCTCCACTAGAAGAACCATTACCTCTTCTTACTGAAGTAACAACTTTAAAAATACTTGTCGACGAAGGAAAATGGAAAACTGTCGATCACATATCAATTATACATAAAGGTTTAAATATAAGTGCAAATCGCATAGTAAGAGATCCAGTTAGTGTACATGGTTTTAATCTCAAAAAAAATTACATATTACAATTGTTAAAGTGCAGGTTCTATGAAATATTTTCATGTTATTATTCGTATTTTACTTCAATTATACAGTTTTGCTACAATAAAAAAACAAAAGTAGTCAGATCTTCTGAACAAAATATCTTAACATACATTAATTGTATAAACAACTTATTTGAAACAAGTAAAAGCTCCGAATATTTTTTCAATAAAATCTTTTCGGTAGTGAAAAGATTAAAAGATGTATCAATTTGGGAAGTTTCTAGTGTACGTATGTCTTTACCATCCATTGAAAAATTTTTAGAATTGTTCATTAATACGTTTAATGATAATTATTTGTATGAAGATGTTTTTAATAAAAATACAGAACCATTTCCCATAATTAAGGCACATAAATATCTAAAAAATATGATACATAAAAGAACAATGTTTAAAGCAGAATTACATGAAACTTCGAGACATTCGAGAATTATACGCTGTCAATATACAGAGAAATCTAGACCATTTGTTAGTATTCTAGAAGAGATTTTTGAGAAAAATGATGATTTAATGAAAATTAATACAATCGATGATCATCTAAATGCCTGTATTAAATTATCCACATTTTGTATAAACATTATTGACATTGATTTTAAAGACATGGGATTCGATAAAATTTTATGAATATGAATTATGTTATTTATTGATTTTTGAAAATTCATTAGTTAATGTTATATTTGTCTTAAAAAAATATTATTTTCTTATTCCAACAACGTTTTTTTGATTTTTTTGTACATTAAAGATCAAATTTTGACCTTCAGCAAAGTTAAATTTGTCACTACAAATTATTTCAATTATTGAAATAGTTTGTAATTTTCGCTAGGTGTTAAAGTAGTTCTTATGCACATTTTAGAATTTAAATTCATTCTCAAAAGCCAGAGAAAATTGATTATAATAATAATTTGGAATCAACTTTTTGTCACCGCTGAAATGAGTTATTAATTTCAATGAAACCCACTCTACATACATGATACAATTATGTATGTAATCACTTAACACTAGTAACCTTTTCAATTTTTTTATTAACCTAACACAAATTTTAGCAGGCTAAAAGAACTAACATTTGAATTTTATAAACAAATAAAAAAACAGTCAGCTTTGTATGAGCTGAGTAGGTTAAAAAAAGCATTTAAAAATCTAAATTAGTTAATAGTTTTATTTAAATCAATATTATAATTACATATTATATAATCAATCTTTATTGTATTTAAATTAAACAGTTGTTAATATTACTTGACTAATTGATTTTTTTACATTTCAAATTATTAAAACTTATATTATATTGTATTTGTATTAATTCACAGCAATTTTTTTTATTGGCGACTTAAATTAATTTCAAATTACGTAATCAAAGTTTCTAATAACAGTTTATTTCTCAGATATGTATTTTTTATTTGAAGACGTTAAAATATAAGATTAATGTGAAATTTAATGTAAATTTAAATTTGCCATAAGAACTTAAATTATTAAATATATTTTTGAAAAAATCTGTATTTTTAAATTAAAGAAATGTTTCTAGAACATTTAAAACCGAATAAATCTTATCATCGAACACGTTTTAATTTTATAATCAAAATTTATCTCTTCTAAGTTAATGTTTCCAAGCATCAAACCAACTGACATCATTTAAGATATTATAATTGCATTCCCTTAAGTGAGCGCCAAACCCGTACCTTACTACATTTTTTGAAACTAATATACCATTGCTAAACTTAACAAAAAAATAAATAAATATTTTTATATTATCTTTTTATNATATTATAATTGCATTCCCTTAAGTGAGCGCCAAACCCGTAACCTTACTACATTTTTTGAAACTAATATACCATTGCTAAACTTAACAAAAAAATAAATAAATATTTTTATATTATCTTTTTATTACACTATCTTTGTATATTACTTTTAAAATATTGTAACAGTGTGATATCATCACCAGAATATATGAAAAAACCCAACCCAGCACAGTGGTGACATGGCATAGTTGGATCAAGTGTAATGATATCTGACAGTGATTAAAATCACTATAAAAAAAAAAAACGCTTCGATACAAATCTTTAGATAGTGTTTAATTTTCAAAAATTGATGTATTATTCCATAAGCTATATGATCTGCTAGTTCCTTATTAATATCTTGATTAAGATAAAGCATGTCGAATAAAAAAGGGATTATTAAAAAATATTATTTCTCATAAAAAAATTGTGTTGATCCATACACTTTTCATTAGGTTATAGCATTATAAAGTTAAAAATGTAAAAATAAAATCGAGATTTTTCACACAAAAATAGCATTTGGTTGCCATTTTCACCATGAAGACAAGTCCAGAGGTAAATTTTTTTTTTTCATAATTAATTACATTACATTAGCTTTAATTTAAGATATATATAAAAGTATCAGACTTTTCGGAACATTTTCAAAAGTTAAGTTAAAATAGTTAATTTTTTGTGAAAAAGTTGTCCTTTTAATTCCCCCCTGTGGGCAGATAAAGGGTCAAATTTACAAAAAAAATATACCAAATGACAGGTAAGGACACCAAGCATCTATAAAAAAAAATTATATTGATATGATTTTGGAAAAAATTACAGCAGTTTTTAGTAAAAAAAATTGAAAAAACTTCGAAAATTAACGATTTTTAAATTTGTAATTTTTTTGGAGGTTTCCCCCATTTACGGGGTACGAGGGAAATTTTTTCAATTTTTGAGGGTAATGTCTTCGAAAAGATACGATTTGTGATCTTTTATCGTATCGTTGAATGAAATCCATTCGGTGAGAGCTGAGAAAAAGTGGTAACAGACAAAAAAAAAAAAACACACATCATAGTAAAACCAAGACCTTCTTAGCTTCGCATCGAAGCTAAATTAGTTAAGAAAGCTCATTTATTCTGAGTATCGAGACACTTTCGGTGACGTGGTGTCTGGTGTGGTCCTCGAGCGTCGAAAGTTAGCAGCGTTTGATGGCAAAGGTTGGGTGAGTGCGGATCGGTCGTCAGGTCGTACGGAGTCGATGGCCTATATTCTCGTCGTCGTCACTATAAAGACGGGAAGAAGACTTAACGAATCATTTGCGGCGGTTCATTGTTGGTCGTGTGGCACTTGTTGGACGTTACACCGTGGCGTATGGCACGCGATGTTGGTCAGTCGAATTCATAGTAGGGCGACAGCTGATAAACATAGTGCGGTTAACGGGGCATCGTGTATCACAATGGGACAGGGGAAAATTTAAAATGCTAATAACTTCTAAAATATTGGTCAAAAGTTAGACACTTAGTAAATGTGTCCAGAAATCAAATTATTTTTTTCAATATTAAGTATATCACATGATCTTTAAGTGAAGATATATTTGAAGACGACAGGAACGATTTTAAAATTTAAGTTGAACTAACTATTTATACGCCTGTTTCAAGTTATGAATTAAAAAAAAAAAATCTATATTGATCAATAAATTGTTTAAAAAATTCATAGCAATATAAAGTTGAAATCAAAATAAAAATTTGACCATTTTTACAAAATGTTGTACGATATTTTCATACAGTAGCCGTTTTCGCCATCAAGACAAGTTTAGAGGTCAAACTTTTTTTCAAATAAAATGTATTAAATGGTTTTATATAGGATATTTTTAAATGGGTTAGAATTTCCGGAATATTTTCAAAAGTCCAGTTAAAAAAGTTATTTATAAAATGATATATCCAACTTTCAAAAATATTAACAGCATATAAATTATTATTATATAAAAATTATTGAAATTTGTTGATTTCATAAGTCACAATTTTTTTGTGGTATTCTCCCATTTACGGAAAACGAGGGTAATGTCTTCAACTGGATGAGATTTGCGATTATTTAACGTATCGTTCAATGAAATTGGTCCAATAGGAGTTGAGAACTCAAGAAAAAAACAGAAAAAAAAAAATCAACATCATATTAAAATTAATACGTTTCAGATTCGAATAAAAGCTAATAATAAGTATATATTAAGTTTGCTCAAAAATGTTACCTAAATTAGAAGCGATTTGTTTTACATTGTTCAAATATAAGTTATTCGCCCAAAGAAACAACTGCGTTTTAAAAAAAACAACCCTATGTTTGTTTTTGTAAATTATTCATAGGCATAATGACGTATTTTCATTTTATATTCTATAATATATATATATATATATATTGTATTTAAAAATATACAGTAATGATTGCCAACTTTTTATAAAATTACTATTAAATATATTAAAATTTTAAAACCGAACACATTTTGTTATTAAGTGTGATTGTTTAATTATAACTAGCGCAATATCTTTAAATTAAAAAAAAGTAATATATTCTTTTTTTTCCTTTTAGAAGTTAAAAGTAACCTATGTTCTATAATTTCCAGACAATTTTGTCCTATTCTCCATTTTTTCTCTTTAATAAAAATATTAAAGAGAAAAATTACAGATAAAAATCTGCAATCGTTTATAAATGGAAACATATTTTTAATTAACTTACAAACTAGACATTGATTTATATAAAAAAAAACTGGTTAATTACAAATTTTGGACTAGAAATCTAAATGATATTAATATTTTTATAACAAGATGAGAAAAATAATGTGGTTTAATAAATGCCTAGAGATAAAATAAACAAACTTATGCTTCACATCTAGTTATTATAGTAAAATATTAATAAATTCCAAAATACCGGTTGGGTTGGAAAAATCAATCGGTTTTTTTTTTGTATTTTTAAGTTAATTAAACATATATGTTTTCATATAAAAAAACTTAATTTGATACAATTTTAAAAGTCATAGAAGGAGTAATTTTTTTTGAAATTATAAAACATGTTACTATAAATAGCTAAAAAGAAATAGCAATGTTATATTCTATGTTCTTAAATATATGGCGTGAGTCATGATTAAATAATACTGTATTTATGCATTTGAATATTAAATTGCAAGTCAACTATTATATTAAAATTAAAATATTTTTCCTTTTGGTATTAAATATAGTGAAATAAAAAAAAAAATTCCTGAAATGATTTATCATACAATATTTAATAAAGTCTAAGCATACTGTAAAAAATAAAATTTATTTTCACTAAGATTTCTCTGTAACATTACACAGAATACAATTGTTTTCAAAAATAAATAACAAATTTGGGAGGCTAATTTTTTAGTATGACTAATAGTTATAGTTATTATAATAATTATGAGAACATTACATTATTGTTAAAACTTATAAGTTTTAACTATGAAGGTTTTTCAATTTCTTTAATGCAATCAATAAATATTTAGAGAGAACGTTAAGTATAAATGTCACAATATTTATTAATAAACCAAAGATACTAAAAATTAAACTAAGAGATATTATTCCTTCTCCTACACTATACTACGTACATCAGATGAGTTTAAGGGAAATGGGGATGATACATTCCTATAAAATATTTCCAATAAAAAAAACCCAGCACAGTGGTATCGCGGCACAGTGGTGACGTGGCATAGTTGGGTGAAGTATAGATGATATCTGACAGTGATTAAAATCACTATCATAAAAAATGCTTCGATGCAAATCTTTAGATAGTGTTTAATTTTCAAAAATTGATGTATTATTCCATAAGCTATATGATCTGCTAGTTCCTTATTAATATCTTGATTAAGATAAAGCATGTCGAATAAAAAAGGGATTATTAAAAAATATTATTTCTCATAAAAAAATTGTGTTGATCCATACACTTTTCATTAGGTTATAGCATTATAAAGTTAAAAATGTAAAAAATTAAATCGAGATTTTTTACACAAAAATTGCATTTGGGAGCCATTTTCACCGTGAAGACAAGTCCAGAGGTCAAATTTTTTTTACATAATAAAGTACATTACATTACCTTTAATTTAAGATATACATAAAAGTGTCAGACTTTCCGGAACACTTTCAAAAGTTAAGTTGATAATGTTTTCATTTTGAATCCTCACCTGTGGGCAGATAAAGGGTCAGATTTATAAAAAAAACATACCAAATAATAGTTAAAGACATCATACATCTATAAAAAAAAATTATATTGATTTGGTTATTTTTAAAAAAGTTATGGCAGTTTTAAGTAAAAAAAATTGTGATTTTAAATTTGTAATTTTTTTGGAGATTTCCACCATTTACGGGGAACGGGAAAATTGTGTCAATTTTTAAGGGTAATGTCTTCGACTAGATACAATTTGTGATCTTTTGACGTATCGTTAAAAGAAATAGGTTCGGCGAGAGCTGAGAAA